GCATTAGCCTCGCAGGATTTTGGGACGCAATCTCCAAAATCTCAGAAGCGAGCAGGTCACAGCCACCACGTGCCGTCTCAGCAAGGAGAAAATCAGCACTTTGGGGCTGCTCTGGCAAGTCTGAGATTGCTTTGCCTGCTGGATTATAAGGAGCCACTAATCTCCCCAGCTCCCAGTCTCCCCGAGATGCTTTATCTGAGGCTGGCTCCGCGGGGAGCAGCCCAGCTGGGCAGGCTCTGGGCTGGATTCCAGCGGCCCTGGAGCCAGGGAAGGGCGGCCAGGGGAGCAGAGGAGCCCCAGGGTGGGCACGGGCAGCCCCAGCCCCAAACCTGGCGCTTGTTCCTGTGCTGAGCAGCTCCAGAGCCAGCCAGGCTCCCAGGGCCCGCAGCCCTTCTGCTCCCCCAAACACCTCTGCGTGTCAGACACCAAAATAAACCACCAGCAGCTCAGGGGCTTTTCCCCCCCTCCTTGCTTTTACCCAAAATTATTTTGCAAGAAGCCAAGAGTTGTATTTACTCCAGGCAGGGAATGTCTCATTTCAAATTTTACTTTCTCTCCTTGGCTCATCCCAGCTCTGCAGAAGCGACGAGAGGCTCCCACACCTGAGCACGCCCTGGGCTGTCCCCAAGGTCTCCGTGGGTCACAGCAGCCCCGGGATGTCCCCACAGGGCTCCTCCTGCACAGAGCATCCCCACAGCATCCCCAGGCCACACTGGGAAAGCAGGGACGTGTTTTTAAACAAGAGGAGGAAATGGTGTCTTTGTGTCAGGCGAGTGGAAGAAATCCAGGACCGAGAGACTGCAGAGCCTTTCCACTTCAGACAGCAGGTGCTCTCCAAGATGTGGTTATGGCAACAAAATAAATGATGGATAATTGCTTTTGTGACAACTTGCCAATTAAATTAGACTCAGCAGAATAACATAATGACAATTTGTTATGCTCTGGTGGGCACTAACACACCAATCATAATTAAATGCTATGACTGAAATAGAATGCTGCTGTACACAGGAATATATAACCCCAATTCCCTCCCAGTGAAACATTATAGGTTCAGACTTGATTTCAATTTCTGGAGGATAATAGCATTAGCGCACATCAGAATGAGCCTGCAATATGCAGAGAGGCAGCAGCAGCAGCACAGGGGACACACAGAGACAAGGGCAGCTGAGGCACCGGGCTGCTGTGGGACCCCCGAGCACGGGGACAGCCTGGATCAGTGCTGGGGACAGGGACATTGCCAAAGAGACAGCCCAAATCACTGCTGTGGGACCCCCGAGCACGGGGACAGCCTGGATCAGTGCTGGGGATGGACAGAATGCAAACCAGGGCTGCTGTGGGACCCCCGAGCATGGGGAGAGACAGAATCATTGCTGAGGATGGACAGACTGCAAACCAGGGCTCGGGGAGTGACACTGGGGGAGTGACACCAGCCCCAGGGGAGCTGCCCCGCCGCAGACACCGAGGCCAGAGCACAGGGATGGGGCCACAGTGATTTCTTGGGGCAGCACCTCTTCCCTTTCTGCCCACAAAGCAGCCTCTGGCAGCCAGGCTGGGCTGTGGGGCACACACAGCCTGGCCCTCCCGGAATGGTTGTTAAAATATTAATTAAACTCATTGCTGTGCCCAGAGGGAGCTCACCCCAAGCCGGGGTCCCTCAGACTCAGCCCCACCAGGTGACCCGGCCAAGGGGCCCTGGCTGCATCCCTGGGGCAGAACTGACCAACGAGGGGTCAGGGCCTGCCAGGACTCAGCATTTACTGCTGGAACAGCAGCAGCAGCTCTGCCAGGCACTGCTGACCTCAGCCTGCTGCTCTCACTGGATTGCTCTGACCCTCCTGTCCTGCACCCCACACAGCCCAGAACTCCAGGACCAGGAATTTCTGTGCCGTGGACGTTGCTGCTGCTGCAGAAGCAAAACACTACAAGAAACACCGAACCAAATTTGTTTTAAAAGCCCCAGTTTAGAACCAGAACCAGGCAGGAGGCAGAACTGACACTGGCCAGGTCCTGCAAAGCAGGAGCCACTTCTGGGCCATGCCCTGTCCAGTGTGGAACTACAGCACAGCACAGCGCAGCCAGCACCCTGCTCTGGCTCCACAGCCATCTTCCTAGCAGATACAGATTTCTGGAATATTCCAAAGCTCAGAACAGGGCAGGTTTGAAGAGCAAATGTGTGTGTGTTCAGCAGGGCTGGGCAGAGGCAAATCCCAGAGGATTCCACAGAGTGGCAATGCCAACAATTTTATATCTTATTTGGAGCCATATTCCTTAAACACTAAACCCTTCATTATCTGCCTCGGTGAAGCTTGGCATTGGCAGGGTCAGATCACCTGTTTTTCCAGCAAAGCTGATGAATTATTTTGCCTGCTCCAGACGTTAGCCCTGATCCTATTAAATCCTTAGCTCCCCTGCCCTCAACACATACCAGGGGATAATCCACGGCCCAGGAACACGTGAAAGGGCTGAGCGGGGCTCTGGGAGCTGCTGCCCAAGGGTTAAACAGAGCCCAAGCTCCGAGCCCGGCTCTGCAGCCCTGGAGGTGTTTGTTCCAGCAGGACTGCACTGTCAGGGAAAACACTGGTGTAAGGAATGCTGCAGCATCCCTGGAGATCCCTCCAGTGACCCCTCCAAAGGCAGCTCTGCACCCCAAACTCTCAGCACACGTTTTTGGGACCTGGTCTGGAGAGCCTCCAGCCTGGCTGTGCAAGGTGTCCCTGCCTTCGGAGCCTGGGGAGCCAGGGCTCGGTGTAAGCGATCCTCGGCATTCCCTGTCCCCGCAAACAGCCCGGCAGGCAGAGAGGAGCTGCCCCGGCAGGACGGTCAGGAGCTGGCACAGGAAAGGTCACCGGGCTGGGCTGGGCATGGCCCGACAGGAACGAGCGCTCCGAGGGCTGCGGGGACAGCGCCGAGCCGGAGGAGCTGTGCTGGGCACGGGGCACAGCCCTGGGGCTGCCGGAGCAGCCTCTGCCCTGCCCGGGGCACGAATCCCGCACCCCGGGGCAGCGATCCCGCACCCCCGCCCTGCCCGGGGCAGCGATCCCGCACCCCGGGGCCCCGATCCCGCCCTGCCCGGGGCACCGATCCCGCACCCCGACGCTCTCCATCACCGCAGCTCCCAGCTCGCTGCATCCCCCGCTCCCACCGCGCTGCCTTTTCGGATGTTTCCCGGTGGAAGCCGGGACTCCGCACGGATTTCCCCGCCTGCGGGGCCCGGGAGCCGCTCGGTGCCGGGAGCGCGGAGCGCGGCTCCCACCTAGCGGGGAGCGCCGGGGGACCGGGGCTGCTGCGGGACCCTCCGGCCGCTCCTGCTGCTGGGAAAGCGCCCCCACAGTGATAAACCACCCCCGGCTGCTGCCCACAGCTTCTCCATTAAATTAGCAGTTACAGCAGGTCCCGAGCACCAGCACCGCCCTCCGGCCCGGCAAACGCGCCCGTTCACACTCGCTGCTTTAACTGGTTTGACCCGAATTGCACCAAATGCTCCAGAGCTCGCATCCCTCACCCCGTGGGATCCCCGGCACCACCACACACAGCAAATCCACGGCGCTGAACGTTCCGACCACTTCTCATCACCCACAGCCGGCCCTGCCCCAGCCCAGGCTCTGCCCTGGCAGCTTCCAGCAGAGCATTCCCACATTCACACCGTGGCACGAGTCTCCCTCTCTCCCCTCTGCTGAAACACGGGGTCCCGCACAGATTTCCACGTTCTCCCGCACCTTTAGCCACGTACCTGTCTCCGAAGCCCGGGCTGCTCTCGGCAGGGCAGCGCAGCACGAACCGCTGGGGCAGGAGCGGGGCAGGACACGGAGCTCACCCGCACCCGGCCGCCCCTCACAGCCATCACGGCCTCCTGCCCTTCCCTGCCGGGCTTTGGCTCCTCCGCACGAGGCAATCACCCCCAATCGCCCTCACCTGCGGCCATCGCCGTGGCCATGGTCATTATCCACCTGGTTAATTAACCACCTGCAGCTGGTGCCCATCACTGCCCCGGGTGGGCACGGGCAGGAAAACTCCTCAGTTCACTGCCCCGGGTCACAGCTGCGCCCGAAGGCAAACCCAAGGGATTGGCTTTTTCAACAGAAAATAAACCAATTCCAACTTTCTCCTGAGGTGCTCTGACAGCAGCTCGTTCAGGGCACACCCCAGGGCTCTAAACTCGATGTTATTGCTGGATGTGGAAACGGATCAGTGCTAAAACACGGGGATCTTTACTCTTTGTAACAAACCCTGAGAGGGTTTAGCTCTTCTCCAGGAGCAGAACTGGGAGTGAAGTCTGACATTCCAAGGATAACTGAGCAGTTCTGCACTCACATTGCTGCCAGGATGAAGGGAGGCACAGAAACCAAAGCAGGGACATTTCACACCCACTTTCCACTGCCACCGAGCTCTCCTGCATCCCACCCAGCTGCAGCAGCACCAACCTGGGCAGGGAGGGAGGGGCTGGACAGCAGTCACACCTGGGAGTGGGGTGGTGCCAGTCCGGGATGTTAAAGAATCACAAATGAAAGAAAAACAACAAAAATCTCAAAACAAAAGACACAAACCAGTTTGTTTTTCATAGAGCCCAAGCCAAATGTTCAATGAGAGATCAGGCAGCCACTGGATGTGCAGCCCAGACAGAACTCCTCCCAATCCCAGCAAGGCTGGCTGTGGTTTCTGTCCCTGCATGTCCCCAGTGACTGTCCCAGCATCACCTTTCCCTCAGCAAACAGCTGCAACATCCCATGTCTGCTCTGCCAAGGTGGCCAATTCCATCAGGAGCCACTAAAAACTGCAAACTCCCAGTGTTCCGCAGTGGCAGCCCTCATCCCACTCTGAATTTAAGGAAATGGTGGGATGGGAAGAGCACATTACAGCGCTGCCATAAATAGCAGCTTCCCTCAATCAGCTATAAAAAGATGGCACTTGAGACATCTGCTGGAACACATCACACAGGATCTGCATTCCCCCAGCAGGAAACATCTTCACTACTGCACACCACACACCTGAACAGGCAGAACTCCAATTTTAAAGGAAATGCTTTAATTTTCCACTTTTACACTCGGTGTTTTCCAACTCGATTTCAGAAAACAGTTGTGAACATTAAACAAAATAAGATTATCTGTGAGTTTATCAATGTGGAGCTGGGCAGAGGGAGCAGGTGTGCCATGGACGAGCCTGGAGGGCACCAGGAGCCTGTTCCTCAGGGAAATGTCCCCAAGGAGGGCTGCAGGCGGCTGCTGGGGTGACAGGGCTGTCAGGAGGGACAGGGACTCTCCTTCTGTGTCCCTGCCAGCTCTGGTGGCTGCTCCTGCCCGTCCTTCCTCTTGTCCTGCAGCTCCCCCAGCACGGCCTGGAGCTGTGAGGCAGCATCCCTGGGTGCAGCAGGCTGCAGGAAGGACAGCAAAGATCCCATCAAACAGGGGGGAAATGCCTGAGGGGAGCAGCAGCCCCCTCTGTGTGCCCAAAAGGAGTTTAATTCACACTGAAATCGCTGTGGAGGCACAGCACAAAAAAAAAATGTCACCACATTCCCAGAGAGGATGCTGAACTCCAGCTAAACATGGGAAAATTCAAGATACAACAGCAAATACACAAAGTTACAAATGCTTTATACAGATGCACCACGGATTATTTGAATGGTTATTCAATTTAATCCCCAGAAAAACATCTTTTCTGGCCCCCAGGTGCCTCAGCCTTGGCCAGACCTGTTCATGGCCAGGAGGAAAGCTTTCCCTGCACAGCAAAGGCATTTCAGGACCATCAGGTGTGTGCCTGCTGTGCTGAGGGTTTCATTCACCCCAACCCAGCACTGAGGGCCTGGGAGTGGAGTTTTGCCAATCCCCCAGCCAAGGAACTCTGGATATTTCATACTCACTCTGTCCACTCCTCTCCTCTGTAACAGGATCCCACTGGCCAAAAGGGCTTTTCCTGTTTCTTCAAACAATTTCTCCTCTTCAATCTTCCCCTCTTCCTTCAGTTCATTGTATTTCTCAACAAACCTAGGCAGCAAAGTTGCTGTTTGACACTCAGGAGATGCTCTGGCTCCCTGACTGAAGGGGAGAAGGGGCAGCCTCAGGAACATCTCTGGTTTGATTATCACCTCACCTCTGGCAGGTGGATTTGAAGTTTAACTGAGTCAGGTCGAAAGGTTTGGGGCCATTGCCATAAACTCTGTAAAACTTCCTGCTCAGAAAAGGAAACTGTTGAGATTGTGCAGCTAAATCAGGAGTAAACAGACAGAGTCAGAGCACTGAGGGGCAGTAGGAGCATGCACAGAACCGTTCCTCCTCCTCTCAGGAGCCTTTATGAACACCTGGCAGTGCCCCAGGCTTGGAGGGACAGTGGGAGGTGTCCCTGCCATGGCAGGGGTGGCACTGGGTGCCCTGCAGGGCCCCTGGCAGCCCAAACCTGTCTGGGATTCCACAGAGCTTCTTTGTGAACTGTGTTAATAAATTCAGGTTAGTCACAGCAGCCAGGGGTCAGAGCAGCTCTGGGGCCCAGAGGAGCCTCAACCTCCCTTAGAAACACGGGGAGGAGCAGGAAAAACACCCACGTTTATTAAAAAAACACCCCCATTTATCCCAAAAACCACCCAATTTATCCCCAAAACCACCTTGATTTATTAAAAAAAAAAAAAAACACACCCTAATTTATTAAAAAAACCCTGATTTGTTAAAAAAATAACCCACCCCAATTTGTCCCAAAAACCACCCGGATTTATTTAAAAAACCCCACCCTGATTTATTAAAAAAACACCCTTTTATTAAAAAAACAACCCACCCCGATTTATTTTAAAAAACCACCCCGATTTATCCCCAAACCCACCCCTATTTATTCTTTAAAAACCCACCCTGATTTATTCAAACTCCCCCCCGATTTACTAACAAAACAAACAACCCCGATTTACCCAACCCCCCCCCGGTTCCCTGGCAGCCCCGGTTCCCCGGTTCCCGCACGCACGCCCGCACGGTGTCCTCCCGGTAGAGCACGGCTGCGATGGGGTCGCCGCTCCCGTAGCGCGGCCGCGGCACGCGGTACACGGGCTCCCGCAGCGGCGGGAACGCGGCGTACACGTCCAGCCACAGCGGCTTCCGCAGCAGCCCGATGCGCACCAGGTTCCGCGCCCTGCGGGCGACACGCGGCTCAGGGGGGGCTCGGCGGGCCGCGCTCACGGAGAACCGGCGATCGGCCCGGCCGAACCCCTCCGCACCGGCTGAAGACGCTCCCGATCTTGTGCGTGCGGCTCCCGGCCGTGGCGGCCATGGCGGCCCCGCCGCACGGGCCCCGAGCCCGGCCCGGTGCTGCGCGCTCCCGGAAGCGGAACCGGAAATGGAACGGGAGCTGAACCGGAACCGGAGCGCCCGCCAGGACACGCGGCCGAGTGCCGAGCGCGGCGGGGGAAGGTGCCCAGGCAGCCCCAGCCGATGGCCGAGCCGGGTCGCCCCCATGCGTTTGGCGCTGTCGCGACAGACGCGACCGGCCCCGGTGTGCCGCAGCCTCGGCCCCAGCCCGGGCAGCGCCAACAATCCCGGGGCTCGCGGCAGCCTCGCCTCCTGTTGTTTGCTGGTGCGGTGTCACAGAATGGCTGGGCCCGCAGCCGTGTCCCACTGCTGTCCCTCACAGTGCCACCCTCACAGTGCCACCCTCACAGTGCCACCCTCACAGTGCCACCCCACAGTGGGATCTGCACAGGGGACAGTGGGATCAGGACAGGGGACATGGGATCCACATCGAGGGACAGTGTGACCCACACCAGCCCTGTCCGAGGCTGCCCATGGCTGCACCGCCCCCGGACAGCCCCAGCGGGCAAAGCGGCCACAGAGGATCCCAGGCTGTGTCCCAGCCCCAGCAGCTCCATCCTCCCTGCAGGCGGCCCTTCCCGGGCACCGGGTGCAGCTCGGGAACCGAGGGCAAGGAAGGAGAGCACATCCCATCCCATCCCATCCCATTCCCGCTCCCAGGCTGCCGAAGGAAGGGGGCAGCACACTTCCACGGCACACCGAGGGCCGGCAGGATCCCCGGCCGGGATCGGAGCCCCTGTCCCTGCAAGGAGAGCAGCAATGCAGAGCAGAGTCCCCGTCCCTGCAGGGAGAGCAGCAATGCAGAGCAGAGCCCCTGGCCCTGCAGGGAGAGCAGAGCCCCTGTCCCTGCAGGGAGAGCAGCAATGCAGAGCAGAGCCCCCGTCCCTGCAGGGAGAGCAGCAATGCAGAGCAGAGCCCCCGGCCCTGCAGGGAGAGCAGCAATGCAGAGCAGAGTCCCCGTCCCTGCAGGGAGAGCAGCAATGCAGAGCAGAGCCCCTGGCCCTGCAGGGAGAGCAGCAATGCAGAGCAGAGCCCCTGGCCCTGCAGGGAGAGCAGAGCCCCTGTCCCTGCAGGGAGAGCAGCAATGCAGAGCAGAGCCCCCGGCCCTGCAGGGAGAGCAGCAATGCAGAGCAGAGCCCCCGGCCCTGCAGGGAGAGCAGCAATGCAGAGCAGAGCCCCTGGCCCTGCAGGGAGAGCAGAGCCCCTGTCCCTGCAGGGAGAGCAGCAATGCAGAGCAGAGCCCCCGGCCCTGCAGGGAGAGCAGCAATGCAGAGCAGAGCCCCTGCAGCAGTTCCAGAGGGAGCTGCTCGGGCAGGCCCTGCGCTCCCCAGGGCAGCCGGGCTGCCTCCAGCCTTTCGCTGCTTTGGACATTTAAGGCAAGAATGCCCTGACTTTATCCAGGCTTTTCTTCCACAGGGAAGGTTCCCGAGCTGGAAAGCTCCGATCCTGCTGGGAAATGAAAGCTGGCACAGGACAGGGGGGTTCTGTGCTGTCCCTGCAGTCAGGGGGATGCTCCCTGTGCTTCCCCAGGGATGGCTCCTGGGTTATTGAGGAAACCACTGGACGCAAGTTGAGCCCCATCGGATTTTGGGTGTTTGCATCTCCTGGAGCTGAGCTAGACCTGCCCCTTCCCTCCCCGGTCCCCTTTCTTTCTTCTTCCTCCCTGTAAAGAGTAGAAAAATAAACAGTGTTAAAAAAATATATACAGTGTGAAGAGTACAACAGGACTTTATTATAGGGATTACTATTAAACATCTTTAAGAAAAAGATCACTTATGGAAATAAAATTCTAAAATAGCCACACTCACAAACATCACAGATGAGCTTGTTTTGTTCTTTCGAAACCTTTCTGTAGAGAAATGATACAAACATCACTGAGAACTGTACATTTTTATGTAAGAAACGCATTTTGGCTCCCAAGCCGGGTTTGTGGCCTTTCCACTCCATAGACCTGATTTTTGTTTTTTACAGCACACAAAAAACCCCTCTCCACTTCCATTAAAACCATGCTTTGTGCCTGCAGGATATTTTGACACGGCCACAGAGTGACATCCCCCAGAGGCTGTGCCTGGCCTGGGGTGTTTGAGGGCAGCTTGTTGGGGTGGTGGTGGCAGAGCCGTGCCCAGAGCCCTGTGCCAGGCCTGGGTGGCAATGGAGCTTTGGTGCCCGAGCCCAGCAGGGTCAGAGCCAGCAGGGCTGGGCACTGAGCCACCTGTGCTGTCCCCACCCTTTCTCACTGCCCCTCTCTCTGTGGGAGCAGAGAGGACGAGCTCAGGCAGAAAGCAGAGGCAGCTGCTGGCCTGGGGATGCTCCCAGCACACCTGGGCTGGCTGGCAGAGGTGACCCAGGTGTCCCTTATTGAGCAGATTGAGAGGAGGGACAGTGTCCCCCTCTGTCCCAGCTGCCAGCGGTGCACAGGACTGGCCTGTGGCTCTGTGCCATCTCCCAGGGCAGCTCACCCATCCCTGCAGCCAGGGCAGGACCCAGCCCAGCCCAGCCCCTCCCGGTCAGGGAGAGCAGAATTCCAGAATTCCCTCCCGGCCGTGGTGCTTCCTGCGCTCATGGAAACCGCGCTGGCACCGCCGCCCGCCGTGGAATGGTGACAGCCTGATCCGCTTCCAAGTTTGATTTTCTTCCAAATATGCAGAGCTGCTCCGGGCTGGGAGGGAGTAACGGCAGCCTCAGGGCCCCCAGGGCCTGGAGGGCAGGGAAGGAGCCCCTCCTTCTCCTCAGCTCTCTCAGAATGGAAATCCCACCAGGGACTAAAGGATTTTCCGTTCCCTGATTGCCCCTGATTGCACCCCTCCAGCCCCTCATCCTACCCTGGGCAGGGCACCCTGGGGCATTCTGTGCCCTCTCCTGACAGTTGTGCACCCCACCAGGGGCAGGGGTGCTGCCCACGGTGTGGGACCCCAGCATGGTTTGGGGTGGCCTAACCTGTCACCGTGCTGCCACAACCCAGGATTGCTCCTCCATCCTTCAAAAGACACCAGAACTGGTATGGGCTGGGTGGGGTGGGAATTCTGCTGCTTTGATTTTAGGAGCCCAAAGCTTGCTGGCATCCCGGGGTGCTCCCAGCCCACGGCACCTGCCCTGGCCCTCGGCATCCCAGAACTCGTCTGAGCGCCGGTGCTGCGGGAGAGTTTTGTGCTACAGAGACAGCACGCAGACCCTGCAGCCCCAGAGACCTGGAACAGCCCCAGACACCGGAAACAGCCCCAGACACCGGAAACAGCCCCAGACACCTGAAACAGCCCCAGACACCTGGGAACAGCCCCAGACACCTGGGAACAGCCCCAGAGACCTGGGAACAGCCACAGAGACCTGGGAACAGCCCCAGACACCGGAAACAGCCCCAGACACCTGAAACAGCCCCAGACACCTGGGAACAGCCCCAGACACCTGAAACAGCCCCAGACACCTGGGAACAGCCCCAGACACCGGAAACAGCCCCAGACACCTGGGAACAGCCCCAGACACCTGAAACAGCCACAGACACCTGAAACAGCCCCAGACACCTGGGAACAGCCCTGCCCTGGCCAGGAACCAGGGCAAGTGAGGCTCAGGGGGTGCCCTGGTCCCCAGCACGGCCGGAGGGGACGGCAGCAGCGCTCGACAGGTGCAGCAGCTGCAGCGCCGCCGGGGCAGCAAATCTTGGCGTCCACTTCAAAGGCACGCGGGCTCCGTGGGGAGTGCAGAGGAGCCTGAGGGAGCCAGCGCCTGCAAGGGGGACTTTTGTTACCAAACCCTGCCGAGAGGCAGGGAAAACAGTTGCGTGAGTGTTTGATGGCTGGGGCTCCTGCGTCTGCCGCCTTCACAGCTCCGATCGTGCAACATTTGTGCTGGTTGGCAGGAGGCAGGCAGTGAAACAGGCACGTCTAGAGCCACCTCCTGCATTTGGCAGGGAGCGTTGTGCCGATAAAGGAGAAGAAAATGTGCTGGCGGGAGCGGATTCTGACTTTACGCTCGTCACTCATTACTTACACGGCGAAGGAATTTGTTTATGTAATTATTTTTAGCCTGACTGCATCTCCGAGAGCTGCAGGATCCCGGCGCTGCGGGTACGAGGAAGGGGCTCTGCTCCTGCCCTGCACCAAGCCCAGCAGTGCCCCAGGCCCTGGTACAAACTCTGTGCTGGAAACACCTCCACCAGCCCTGCCAGCCCCTGGCTTGGGCTCTGCCTCTCACCTACAGCAGGGCATGCCTGGGGCTCCCAGGGACCGCAGCAGGCACCCCCAGCACCCCACACCCCGTGGGACGTGTCCTGTTCCATCAGTGAGGGTTAAACTGGTGTGAAATCCAGCCCTTGGTGCTGCCCCACAAAGCTCCCCAACTTCAAGGCAGTTGTAGCAATGCCGAAGGCAAAGGTTTAATTCAAAGTGAAACGCCTAGGAAAAGAAGGCCTTTCCTTTATAAACAATTTATATTATTTGACTATTACCTGATCTGAATCTCTGCTCATTACTCCTAGCAATAATAGACAACGGCTGTTAGCTTCCCTTTCTGGCGTGGTTTTTGTTCCGGTGTGCGCAGAGTGCAGTCCCATCAGACCACTGCAGATATGTTCAGGAGTGCTGCGGCCGGGCAGACCCCGCGTGGGACTGGCTCCTCGTTAGTAGCCCTGATTCCATTCCGTTCCTGCCGTGCCGCCGGCCGGGAGCAGGCGGGGCTGCCCCTCCCCAGCCCAGCTCGCTGGCTCCTCCACAGCCGCAGCCGCTCGCTCGCAGCAGCTGCCCGCTTTTTTTTTGCCTTTTTTTTTTTTCCTTTTTGGCTGATTTTCTCGATAGGAAAAGTCGTCTTCAAACCATTGGTAAGAAAACGCTGTGCCTCACTTCGATACTTGTACTTCAGAGGAGTACAGCAGCAGAGGGGGAACAGCCAAAATCTGGGTGGTTTGTTGGGTGGGTTTTTCCTTTTGCAGCCATCTCCTGATGAAGCCTCGTGCACGTCCTGTGCCAGCAAGGAACCCCAGAGCTGGGACCTGCAGGGAGGGAAGAGAACAGCATGTGCTCAGCCTCAGCCTCACAGAGACAGCACCCATGGCCACTGATGGGGCTTGTCCCCACCCGGACACACTCTGGACCCAGCCTACAGCGCTGGCTCTTCCTCCAGCCAGGCTGGGCCATGCCCACCCAGGTGATCACCCACCCATCCCCAGGTGCCTCTCACCGTTTACTGCCCCTCCTTCGGCGTCTCCTCCTCCTCCCGGAGCTGCTGCCGCCGTGCCTGGAACTCTTCATCTGCAAGGCAGAGCAGGTGCGGCTGCAGCACCTCCACACCAGGGCACCCCTGCCCCACGGCCCCAGCCCGGGGCAGGCAGCCCGGCTTCCCCAGGGCAGGGTGTCCTTGCTCAGAGAGACAATTCCCAGTGGCACTCGGGGAGTTTCTCCCAGAACACGGATGGAGGCTTCTGGCGCACAGGGTATTTCTGCCAGGCGTTCACACCTGAGCCAGCCCTGGGCTGATGTGGCACCATGGACCCAGCCTGCCAAGCCCAGCACACCCAGCACAGCCTGGCACAGCACTCCTTACCATATGCATGTCCTTCCACGTCATCCAGAAGATTTGCTGTGGAGGCTGCTGTCCCCATCCTGCTCCCTCCGCTAAGGAAAACCACTTGTGGGGCCAGGATGTGGCCAGGGACCACAGCCACCCTTCCCAGCCCACGCTCCAGCCACACAGGAGCCCTTGGGGAGCCTCCCCTGCCGCACAGCCCTTTCAGGATACACCTGGTGCTTCAACAAGTGTTTTCTTTTTGATTTCCTCATCTTTGTCTTCTCGGAGAAGGCTCTGGCGAGTTCAAACAGCTTCTTGCGCGTGGCTGGAAGGAAGCAGCTGCCTCAGGGTCTCACCCAAACCCCAAAACCCCTCCCAAAGCTGCCACGGGCAGGGGAAAGGAGAGGGACAGGGCCAAGGGTGTGAGAGCCACCCACACCCAACACCCTGTGGTGATGCCCAGACTCGGGGAGGGAGACAGGGACACCTCAGTCCCCGGTGGTAGGTGCCCATGTTTTCCCCTTTTTCTGGGATTTTCATGACCTTCCTTACCCACCCCTCCCAGTGTTCCCAGTGCCTGCAGCCCAGCTGGGGCCACCCAAAGACCTTGCTCTAGTCTGTGGTGGGAAAATCAGGCTGTGCCTGAGTCTGGGAGAGTGCCGGGTACTGCTGCCATTCCCCCTGCCCAGCCCACTCCCAGCTGCCCCCCTGCCCTGCCAGGTGCCAGCCCGGGCCCTGCACACTCACATTTGCCCATGTGCTTGAGCTTGTCTCGGAATAAGGCATCGTCGGACACGGCCCCGCCGGCCTCGCTGGCTGCAGAGGGAGCTCCCTCACCTGCAAGGCAAACACCCAAACAGGCTCACCGGCAGTGCCCGCCTGCCTGGAGAGGGGGCTGTGACAAACCATTCAGCTCCAGCAGCAGCCAAGGGCAGAGGGGCAGAGCAGGTGGGATGAGGGTGGGCTGGCTGTGGATGGGGACATCTGGGGACACAACCCCTGGGACCAGGGGTGCAGAGCCGTGGGCTGGCAGCGCACCTTACAGGGGCTGAGCACCAGCACCTCCCTCCAGGGTCAGCAGCTCCAAATTGCCCCGGGCTCTGACTGGGCTCTGGGTGTTGGATGATGCTACCCGGTGGATCAGGAGCAAGCCCGGCTGGGTCAGGAACAGAGACCCCAGAGCCACGTCCCTGTTCCCCAGGTCTGGGAGCCCAGCTGGAGCCCTGCCAGGCTGCCCAGGCCTGCCCATCCCCACATGGGGCCATCGACAGACAGCAGCTCTAATTCTGACTCTGGGCAGCTGCTGTGCTCCGAGGTTAATCAGGATTACCCAGAACAGTCATTATGCCTGCAGGCACAATCCTCGGCTCCAGCCCAGGCAGGGAGGGCAGGGATGGGTGGATGGATGGATGGATGGATGGATGGATGGATGGATGGATGGATGGATGGATGGATGGATGGAGGCAGGATGCAGCAGCACCTCCACACGGGGAGGGCAGGAGCACCCACCCCCATGACCCACCAGCTCCCCTCTGTGCTGGGAGGGCAGCAGGGAGGGATCAGCACTTTCCTCCTCCACAGGCACTCTGGGGGCAGCTGGGCAGAGGGATGGGAATGCAGGGCTGTGGGGGATCCTGCTGTGGAGACACAATGCTCACATATCTCTTGGAAGTTACCTGATAATACTGAGGAGAAACCAAAGTCGTTGCTGACAGCAACACCAGTCGACTTGGATTTTTTTGACTCATATTTCAATCGATCTGAAACACAAAAAGCGCAGCGCCCGCTCGATCAGGCCCTGGAGGCAGAGCACATGGCTCTGCTCCCCGCTCCCCTCACAGCCCGTGGCTGCTGGCAAGGGAGGGAGCTGGGGCTTTGCTTCAGCACAGTGACCACAGCGCAGCAGCAGAGGAGCTGCCCACCGACCACGAGCACACAACAGCACACCCGTGGCTTTCCTGCAGGGACGGTGCTGCCAGGACCCTGCAGAGCACCACTGGCAGGGCTGGGCAGGGCTCAGAGGCCATTCCCAAAGCTCCTTGCCATGGATTCTGCTGGCTCAGAGACTCTGCAGAGGGCTGGGCAGGGGGCAGAGCAGGAGGCCAGGGAGCAGCCCGGCAGTGCGGGCAGCTCAGACCACAGCCCCAGCCTGGCCACATCTTGTACTGGCTCCGCTTTGGCACAAGCCCCGATCCCACGGGCAGGGCACTGCTGCCAGCAGGCAGAGCCACAGCAGGGCACACGCCCAAAAAGCAGAAGTTTCTGAAGGGCCTTTCACCTCTCTCCAGGGCGAGCAGGAAGTCCCGGTTCCTCTGGAGCTCCTTCATGAACTCTTCGTTCTGCAGGAAGAGGGCGATGCGCTCGTCCTCCAGGTACTGCTTCCAGCGGCGCTCCTGCTCCAGCGAGCCCTGGCCGCGGGGCACGGGCTGCCGGCAGCGCGGGGAGCCCTGCCGAGGCAAACGGGACACGCTGGGGGCTGCTCTGGGGTGCCTGCAGCAGCCCCGGGGCTGAGCTCGGCCTCCTGCCCCTCTGTGCGTGACACCGCAGCTGCCCAGCCCCGGGGCACCCAGTGCTGCTCCCACAGGGGCACCCACTGCTGCTCCCACAGGGGCACCCACTGCTGCTCCCTGAGGGGCACCCACTGCTGCCCCAGCCCCGGGGCACCCACTGCTGCTCCCACAGGGGCACCCACTGCTGCTCCAGCCCCGGGGCACCCAGTGCTGCTCCCACAGGGGCACCCACTGCTGCCCCAGCCCCGGGGCACCCAGTGCTGCTCCCTGAGGGGCACCCACTGCTGCTCCAGCCCCGGGGCACCCAGTGCTGCTCCCACAGGGGCACCCACTGCTGCCCCAGCCCCGGGGCACCCAGTGCTGCTCCAGCCCCGGGGCACCCACTGCTGCTCCCACAGGGGCACCCACTGCTGCTCCCTGAGGGGCACCCACTGCTGCCCCAGCCCCGGGGCACCCAGTGCTGCCCCAGCCCCGGGGCACCCACTGCTGCTCCCACAGGGGCACCCACTGCTGCTCCAGCCCCGGTGGCACCCACTGCTGCTCCCATAGGGGCACCCAGTGCTGCCCCAGCCCCGATGGCACCCACTGCTGCCCCAGCCCCGGGGCACCCAGTGCTGCTCCCTGAGGGGCACCCACTGCTGCTCCAGCCCCGGGGCACCCACTGCTGCCCCAGCCCCGGGGCACCCACTGCTGCTCCCTGAGGGGCACCCACTGCTGCCCCAGCCCCGATGGCACCCACTGCTGCTCCCTGAGGGGGCACCCACTGCTGCTCCCTGAGGGGCACCCACTGCTGCCCCAGCCCCGGGGCACCCACTGCTGCCCCAGCCCCGATGGCACCCACTGCTGCTCCCAGAGAGGGCACCCACTGCTGCTCCAGCCCCGGGGCACCCACTGCTGCTCCAGCCCCGGGGCACCCACTGCTGCCCCAGCCCCGATGGCACCCACTGCTGCTCCAGCCCCGATGGCACCCACTGCTGCTCCCACACGGGCACCCACTGCTGCTCCAGCCCCGGTGGCACCCACTGCTGCTCCCACAGGGGCACCCACTGCTGCTCCAGCCCAGGGGCACCCACTGCTGCTCCCAGAGAGGGCACCCACTGCTGCTCCCTGAGGGGCACCCACTGCTGCCCCAGCCCCGATGGCACCCACTGCTGCTCCAGCCCAGGGGCACCCACTGCTGCTCCAGCCCAGGGGCACCCACTGCTGCTCCCAGAGAGGGCACCCACTGCTGCTCCCTGAGGGGCACCCACTGCTGCCCCAGCCCCGATGGCACCCAGTGCTGCTCCCACAGGGGCCCTCCCTCCTCTGCCCAACAGCCCAAAGGGTCAAAAGGGACAAACGGGGACAGGGCAGCACTGCCTCTGCCCCTTGGGAATGGGGACAGGGCAGATCCCACGTGGGAGCCTTCTGGAGCTCCTTTAGCAGAGCACAGGCTGGCAGGATTTTTAACTCTAAGCCATGGGGCTGTGCCATAGCAGAGGTACAAGAGGTGTGCAGGTTCGAGAAGGGTCTCAGCGGCATCGCTGCTTTATCTCCCATCTCAAAGAGCAGAGCCTGCAGCGTCCTGCTGACAAACAGCCCTGCACGAGGCACGTCACACCTCACACCTGGGGAGCAGCACAGCCTCATCCCTGCCTGCAATATTTATCTGATTTGTAGCTGCTCCCAGAGAGCCACAAAAAGCAAAAGCACACAATTACTGGGGAAAGAAAAGGGCAGCTGCTCCTCTCCTCCCCCTGAGCCCAAATGAATTGGCATGCTCCTATTCCCAGAAAGGTAATAGAGCCCGTGCAGCTCAACTTGCAGGGCAATCATTCATGAAAACGTGGCAGGCTGCCTTTGGAGACAAAACGAGAGTGAGGAGCAGGGTGCCTGCAGCCCCCCCATGCCAGGAGGGTGCTGGAGCCATTTAGGGGTTGCTGTGTTAGCAAAGGGCTGAGGGATGATGCCCAGCATGTGTTGGGGCTGCTTGTTCCCCAAGGGATGCTGCCCATTGCCTGCCCTGCTGCAGGCACCCAAACATCGTTTGTACAACAGCCATGGAGCACATGTGGACTCCGATTTCCCAGGGGCAAACCCTCTGGCTTGCACTAGGTTTCCCACCCAAATTCCACTGCAGCAGCCCTCAAGTGCCCTGGCAGTGCTGCTCTCCTTAGGAGCATTACTGGTCCTGCTGCTCCTCACCAGAGCAGAGGGCAAGATGTTCAAGTAATTGAGAACATTAGGTGCTTATGGCAAGTGGCATTTCTGGCACTAATCTGGGACAAAGCAGGAAAAAGATCAAAGCTTTGCTGAGAGCTCTTTCACCCCTTGCCCACTTCATTCTCTTGAACAGGACACACTCCAGACCTTTCGGGTTAGTGCGCACCTGGTACCCAGCGTGCTGATGCTGCAAGCTCAGGGAGGCTGAGCACTGGGATGGTGTCCCTGCCACCCCACGAGCAGGCTGGAAGGGGTGCCCAGGCTCACCTGTGTGCCAGCTGGGGCAGTCTGCTGGGGCAGGATGCGCAGGAAGTCCTCGGGGAGGTTGCCCAGCAGTGGTGGGTTCCAGTTCCTGTAGTGCACGGTGCTGCTGGGACAGGGCACGTCTGTCCTGTGGGGCAAGCACAGGGGCACCTCTGCTGAGGAGAAACCCACCAACACCAACACCAGCACAACACCTTGTGGCAGCGTGGCACAGGGCCTGGCACAGCAGGGCCTGGCACAGCAGAGCCTGCCCGGCTCCACCAGCAGTCCTGGAAACCACGAAACCCCAGCACATCCCCAAACCTGCAGTGTTACCATCAGCTCTGGAGAGTGAAAGCTTTCCTAGAGCATTTGGAATATTTGGGGGCTGTACTTCAAGCCCTGCCCTGCAACTCTGCATGCTGGATTTTCCTTCTCCTCCCAAAACCAGCCCAGTGGAGCCCCAGCACTGCAGGGATTTGCCCACAAAGCTGACAAACGTCCCTCTCCCAATGTCACACCCAGCCTGCACAGAGGGCAGGGCTGGCACAGAGGTGCCCAGGGCTCACGCTTGCTGTCCCACAGCCACAGCCGGAGCGGTGCTGCCAGGGCCAAGCGAGCCAGCCGAGGTGTGTGGTGAGCAGCAGCCAGGGTGGGGCTGGCCCAGCACCTGGTGTTTTCCAGCAGCAGCAGCAGCAGCAGTGAGCGCTCCCCGCCCACGAGCTGATTTTTGCCATTCCACACGCTGCCAGAGAGGCTTTCCGGCCCCTCAGCTGTTGGTGCTTCAGACCCTCACAGGGATTTCTCAGCCAGCTGTGAGCTTCATTCATCTCCCTTGGCTTTGTCTCACTGGACCCTATAAGGAGCAGGGCCACAGAGCCGTGCCAGGGCCAGCTGACACAGCCTGACCCACACAGGGTGCCCCAGGAGCACAGCCTGACCCACACAGGGTGTTCCAGGAGCACAGCCTGACCCCGGGTGCTGGCACAGGTGCCCCAGGAGCACAGTCTGACCCACACAGGGTGCCCCAGGAGCACAGCCTGACCCACACAGGGTGCCCCAGGAGCTCAGCCTGACCCCGGGTGCTGGCACAGGTGCCCCAGGAGCACAGCCTGACCCACACAGGGTGCCCCAGGAGCACAGCCTGACCCCGGGTGCTGGCACAGGTGCCCCAGGAGCACAGCCTGACCCCAGGTGCTGGCACAGGTGCCCCAGGAGCACAGCCTGACCCACACAGGGTGCCCCAGGAGCTCAGCCTGACCCACACAGGGTGCCCCAGGAGCACAGCCTGACCCCGGGTGCTGGCACAGGTGCCCCAGGAGCACAGCCTGACCCACACAGGGTGCCCCAGGAGCTCAGCCTGACCCCGGGTGCTGGCACAGGTGCCCCAGGAGCACAGTCTGACCCACACAGGGTGCCCCAGGAGCACAGCCTGACCCACACAGAGTGTTCCAGGAGCACAGCCTGACCCACACAGGGTGTTCCAGGAGCTCAGCCTGACCCCGGGTGCTGGCACAGGTGCCCCAGGAGCACAGCCTGACCCACACAGGGTGCCCCAGGAGCACAGCCTGACCCCGGGTGCTGGCACAGGTGCCCCAGGAGCACAGTCTGACCCACACAGGGTGTTCCAGGAGCTCAGCCTGACCCACACAGGGTGCCCCAGGAGCACAGCCTGACCCCAGGTGCTGGCACAGGTGCCCCAGGAGCAGGAGCTGTGCGGGGCAGGGTCTCACCTGGGCGGGGGCGTGGGCGGGGCGCGGGGGTAGCGGCTGCCCAAGGCCTGGCTCTCGTAGGCAGGAGGGGAGTACACGGGAGGGGGCTCCTCGTCCGAGCTGTCCGGCTCCAGGGTCCGCTCCAAGATCTGCAGGGTGAGAGGACGGGGTGAGGGCAGGACAGGGAAACGCTCTCCAGCGGGCCAGAGCCCCGCGTACAGCAGCAAAACAGGGATGGCACAGGCTGAATGGGGCTGCGAGGATGGGGCAACCTGCTGGCACTGGGCCTCCTGCACCCAGGGGGCGTTTGGTGGAGTTTGGAGTTTGGGGGAGTTTGGAGGTACTGCTTTCAAGGGAAGAGGGTGGTTGAGCCTATCCTTGGCGCACACAGGCCCAGGGAGTCTCTCTGACAGCAGCAGAAGGGTCCCTGATGGGTTTTGGGGCGAGTGAGAGGGAGGAGAGCACTTGGCTTGATCCTGAAGCCCTGCCCAAGCCGACCCTTGGTGCAGCAGCCCAGCCCATCCGGGCACTCCAGCCTCGGCCTGCCTGCAGCAGCTGAGTAGCACCGTGCTGGGCAGGAGGAGGCAGGATGAGACTGACGTGCCGCAGGTGTGGCAGGCAGAGCCCCCAGAGGGGAGCCCCAGGCCGGTACCTCGGGGGGGATGCTGTCCTCCGAGTCGGAGCTGTCGTCGCAGCCGCTGCCGTCCAGGTTCATCTGCAGGAGCTGGTCGATGGTGGCGTCCACGGCGCCGTTGTTGGCCCTCAGGACGCACTCGATGATGTCGTAGTCCATGCTGGGGAACATGGTCTTGAAGTCCTCCATGGCCTGGTTGAACTCCAGGCGCCGCACCTGCCTGGCGGGGCGGCTGTTGTTGAGCTCCTGGGCGGAGGAGCCGCCGCGGGAGCCGCCGTTGCTGCCGCTGCGGCGGAACAGGCTCGTCATGGCGGGGCGGCCGCGGGCCCGGCTGTGCCCGGCCGTGCCCGGCTGTGCCCCTGCTCACCGGGGGCTGCCCCGGCTGCCAGCCGCCACCATGGGTGGGCGGCGGGGCTCCCGCTCCCCGCGGCTCCGCGTCAGCCCCCGGCGCACGGCTGCATCCTGCCACCTGCGGAGGGGACACGGACACGGTCACCGGGGGACACGGACACCAGGGGACACAGTCACCAGGGGACACGGACACGGTCACCGGGGGACACGGACACCAGGGGACACGGACACCAGGGGACAGAGTCACCAGGGACACAGTCACCCAGGGGACACAGACACGGTCACCAGGGGACATGGTCACCCAGGGAACATGGTCACCAGGGGACACAGTCACCCAGAGGACACAGACACGGTCACCAGGGGACATGGTCACCCAGGGAACATGGTCACCAGGGGACACAGTCACCCAGGGGACACGGACACCAGGGACACAGTCACCAGGGACACAGCCACCAGGGGACAGAGTCACCATGAGACACAGTCACCCAGGGGACAGAGTCACCAGGGACAGCACCCAGAGGCTCCCCCTCTCAGCAGGGCACATTCTGCTCCATTCCACCCACCCCACTGCATCCTCGTGGGACTGAGCCATCCCTGCAGCGGGCCCGGCACGCCGGAGCCTGGACGTGCCGTGCCAGGAGCTGTACCACAAAATGCAAGGCAAGAAAAATGGCATTACTTCCACTGCCCAGAGTTAACGTTTCCAGGTTTGACATGTATTTATAAACACGGTAAAATCACTCTTTGAAATAAAACATGGAGTCGGCTCAGAGAGTGTCAGGGCAGGGGGCTGAAACGCTCTGCAGCACGGCAAATCGACCTTTTGGAAAAGCTACCAAATCCAAGATTAACATTCACTTTAAAACCATAAACAGATTATACAGCTACTGCTTCTCGTTTGAAAATGCAGGGCCAAATTCAGTTCTGGATTAACTCCACTGTTTGAAACAGAATTACCCCAGGAACACTTTTGATCCATAATATCATTTTCAAAGGCTTTTTCCTAAGCGGCAGGCGGAGAGTTCAGGATAACTGTCCCTAAATGGTATTTAATGCAGAAGAACGTGCCCAGCACATTTCTTAGCGAAATGGTATAATCAGATTCCAAGCCATTAAGAGGAGCAGTCACCTCTGAAGGTCACCTGGGCTCTCCCCTGCCCAGCAAGGACCATGTGTGACAGCCACAGCCCCGAGCTGTTCCAAGGGGCTTCCAGAGGCTGCTGAGAACAAAACACACTTGCAATACATGGGGAACTCAGCAGGAGCTTGGGGAGAAACTCACTTTTTGCCCCACTGCTAATTTACCTCCACTTTCACCCCCAGGGACAGCACCGCTGTTGTACCAGAGGAATCACAGGGATGATCCCTGCTCCAGGCACACCCTGCTCTCCTTCCTGGCTTTTCTGTAATCCTGGAAGCATTTCCATTTGGACGCACCAGTCGGTCCCTGGGCTGAGCACGTGCCAGGGGCCATCCAGTGCCACCTCCTGTGGCATTTGCTGCCAGGCAGGCCAGGACCCAGGGAAAAGCAGCAGCAGAATCACTGCTGGGCACAAGAGGCCATTTCCAAACAGCACCAGGAGCCCCCAGCTCGCTCCTGCTCACCAATAATATCCATTTAAGTGGTCACTCAGCCAGGAACTGTCTCCATCCCAGTAATTCAGTCCCCAGGATCAGCTTGCCAGGAGCCAGGCGTGGAGCAGAGCAGGAACAATCCCGACAGCTCTGCCCGGCTCTATTCACTGAGGACAAATAAATCCGCTGGAGTCAATTAATAAAACACTGCTGCTCGCTTCCTCCTCCGCTCCCCTGACTCACTCCAGCCAAGAGCCAGCATTGTTCACACCTCTGGAATTATACTTTAATTGCAATGTTGCACGGCTGGTTTAGTCACGTATTAAATTGAGTTGTAACACATTCACAGGGTACACACCTTACAAGATTTGGCTACTCCGAGAGCCTGGACACCCACGGGAACACAGCTTATGCTGGATACACACACAGCCACCATCCAGGGGTGGAGATGGGAGTTTCTGTGCAGAACCATTGCCTCAGCAATGCTGTGCCAGCCCATAACCCTCAAACAGCACAATAACGCCCCAAAATCAGGCTGGAATTCTCCAGATCTCCATAAAGCAACCAAAGTACGTGGGCTGGGGAATCTTTGTCTCTCAGCATCTGACCTTTGAGTGCGCATTTAAAGGCTTCCCTGTAACCAGGAGGGCTGTGCCAGGCACTGGCAATCCCCCTGTTGCCAACACCAGCTCAGGGGAGGTGTTACTCAACACTGCACGGAGTCTGGGACAGCTCCTGGAAGTGCTGGATAGCAACGTGCTGAGCCATGGGAATCCTCTGGTCAGAATCTGAACAAAATTAGGGATGGGGACAAGATATTTTACACCAGAAAGGCACCGCTGCACATCTGGCTTCAAAGAGTCCCGGGGGAATGTGCTGGGACCTTCCCTGCCCTGAGATACACCCCAGGAATTCGGGGCTGGCAGGGGCCACACAGACCAGGGCAGTTCACATGCCCTGGAGGCTTTTAAACCCATTTTTCAAAGTCCTGCTGCTAATCCAAAGAAATGCAAATCACTGCATCAGCACAAGTGAGAACCCAGGGAGAAGGCAGTGGCGCTGTTGGCAGGAGCTGGTTTCACAGACCAACAGGTATCCGGACCCTGAGCTCCTCCCAGCCCCTGCGGGCTGCACAGGGCTCAGGTGGGCGGAGGGGATGGAGCAGGACCCGGGGGCAGCTGGGGAAGGGCTCAGCATGTTCCTGGCCCTTCCTTCTGTGATGTCAGTGAGGGGCTGGGGAGACGCCAGGAAAAGCAAAATCCTTTGGATTTCCCAAAAAGGAAAGAAGAATTTGGCCGTGCCCTCAGCACACACGGGCAGAACCAGCCTGGGATGGCTCCTTGGCTGCTGCCTGACAACAGCTCCTGCCCTGCTGCCTGCACAAGGAGCCTGATGCTGTTATTCATCCTCCAAACACAGGCATAATCCTCCGCCCTTCTGCTGTGCCCATCACAGGAGGAGCTTAAAGGCTTTGCAGGCTGCTGGTCTGCGTGTCCCCGTCCCACAGGTCACAGGGAAGGGCTGCCACAACGCCACATCCACACCAGCTTTTATCCAGGTGCCTCCACGTGCTGGGACAGGGCTGGCACTGAAAACGCTGTTTTGTGTCACTGCACAGCCAGGACACTGTTCCACACGACTGCTGCCTCAGTGCACACTGTGCTCAGGCACTGGCACACCTCTGGCTGCAGCCCCTGCCTTTAGCTCACCACGCAAACCCATAAAATACAACCAAACAGGAGCTGGCCTTGGGGGGCAGCTCCCCCTGCCAGCCCAGGGGTTCACCCTCTGCCACCCAGGCTGCCAGTGCCCTGCACAATTCAGAGCCACCCTGCCAGAGCCAAGGACGAGAGCAGAGCCAGGAGAAGGCCTCAGCCAGGCTCCTGGGCAGGGACAATGCCCGCAGCCTGGCAGGAACATCCTCCTGTGCCCCCGGCATCCTGCAGCAGGCACTCTGTACCTCCCAAAAATGGCTTTTCCATGGAGAGACGGCCCCAGGGGAAGCTCTGGAGAGGCTGCTGGCCCCAGCTGCCCGGGAAGAGCAGCTGGATAATCCCGGGGGTGGGTCAGACGGGAATGTGGGGCTGGCAGCAGCAGTTGCTCGGCTCAGCACGGCCCCACCGGAGAGCCAGCAGCTGGAAAAGCACTGGGACTGATGGCTCACAGCCCTGCCTGCTCAGGGAACAGCCTTGGCACCGAGTGCAGACCAGAATATTCCCTTCCCCAGTGTCTGCTGCGGCTCAGACAGCAGATGGGACTGCTCAGACCCTGCCCAGCTCCTTCTCCCCTGCTCTTGCCACGCTGTGCTCACGGATCCCCCTGAAAACACACGGGAACCTGGACCCCCTCTGCAGCCAGGACGGGGGGACACCACCGAGGGCAGGGACCCCAGCCCCGAGGGCAGGGACCCCCAGCCCACACTGCCCTGCCCTCGGGGCACTCATCCCGTGGTGGCTGCAAGCCCAGGCCCGCGGTGCCTCAGCTGGGGATGCAGAGCAGACGTGCAGAAGCATTTCCATCACAGCATTATTTGGAGAAAAGGGCTGACAGCTCCCCCGGTTCCTGGAGGGAAGACTCTTGGAAGAAGTCTCAAAACTCAAGGATGTTAAAGCAGAAGTAGTGGCTGTGTCCAGAGCAGATGTGCTGAGTTCTGCTGCAGCCAGGCCCCTGCAAGGGGATTGCTCAATGTGGGAACGAGAAGTCTGGGAACGTGACTGCTCAGCAGCTGCAGGTGTGACTGCAACAGGACTGAAATTGGGATGAAAAGTGTATGATCAGGAACAGAAATTACGCTATTCTCTACCACCAAACGTGCCAAGGATGTGCAGGATGGGCCCCTACCAGTCTCTCCTAAATCCCCTTGTCACCTCCCTCTCTGCCTCAGGGGATGCTGTGCACCCCTCCTGGGCCCACAGCCTGGGAAAGCTGCTCCGAGCAAATCCTTTTTCATGGAAACAAATAAGCACCTGAGGATCTCCTTTAATACTTGTTCTGCCGAGTATTAAAATGGCTGGGTTTAAGCCCTTTTCAAAAGCAAAAGCAATCAGGGAGACGAGCACAAGTAAGCCCTGCTTGGGAACCTGCGCACCACCAACCTCTCTGCAGCAGGAAATTCCCCTCTGGGCTCCCAGGGCAAGTGCAGAGGAACCAGGAGAGCCACGGAGTGATCCCAATCGCTGCCCAGGTGCTCTCCTGCTTTCCTGGGAGCCCTGGACACTGCAGCACCCTGAGCACTCGGGATGCACCTGTAAGGGATGCAGCTCGGGCACCCACTGCTCTCCCACCAGAGCCGGGTGCCCCCTCTCGGGACAGATTTGTGGGAGCCCTTTGGGATGTGGCCCTGCACAGCACCCAGCTGGCTCCTAAACCACCAACACCCCGCTAAACCCTCTGAG